TTCGGGATGACGGATGAAACAATGACGTCGCTGGACGAATACGAAAGAAGAAGAGCTGGAAGAAACGAGCACCGCGAAATCATCGTAGCCTCCCCCTGGACGAAGGGTTGGGGCAGTGGTTCCCAAACTGTCGTTTATTCGCCGCGTGCTTGGGAAGAAGTAAAATGTACGACGTATCTCGGAAGTAACGATATTTTGGCACACTCCGTACGTGAATTCGGGAACTCATTAAAAATGGATCTCAACCCTTTGCAGTCTTAAAGTGTTCTTGGCTGTTCACGTTGGAACTCGCATCGTCGACGATGCTCGGCTCGATTAGAATTCACGGGAACAGTTAGAAACGTGGAGAATTTAAAATCTATAAAATATAATCTTCCGTGCACCTTTCGTGTTTCATTCTTGAAATGTTTGAGTCTCTGTCCCGACGCTGATCGCGTCTTACAGGGCTCGGTTTGAGAACCACTGGTTTAGGGGGTCGGCGGGTTAGTCAACAACAAGTCGATCTTAACAAAATACACGCTGAATTTTGATACTCCTGTATCGTATCGTTCTCGCTCTCGCAGCACATACGTGTCCTCCGTGTGTCCGTGTACAAGTGTCACGTGTGTATGTGTGTGTGTTTTTACGCGTGCGTGTAAATACGTATGCGAGTGTATCTACCCGTGTGTATTCGTGTCCCGTGTGCGTATATACCGTACGTATATACAAAAAACCGTATATGCACCTATACATATAGATAATGTCTCTCTTTCAAAGTTGTACGTTTATTTTACACATAAAATCTGGCTGTTTCGTCGAATCAAAACGGAATCATGCTTTTTTTTTCCAATGTACAGAGAAGAATGTCGACAGGCGTTCGGTAAGTAAGTACGTGCGATTTTCAGCGCAATTTACACGTTACATACTCCGATTTCGCAGGATACAATCGGTAACGCGCGAACGCTTCGATGAAATATTCCGTGCGAGGATCCGAGGTGATCGACGATCCTCGGCGATCTTTTTGTGGGCCATTGAAAATCGATTGAACTGACGCTCGCTCGCCGCCGCCTGTCTGGATACGCTCGAGAAAAAGAGTACGGGTCGCAATAACAAACAGAATAAACGGAATAATCAGAATGATAATAATAATAAAAATTATATAATATTAATAATAATATAATATTAATATAATATTAATAATAATAATTAATAATAATAGTAATAATAATAATAATAATAATAATAATACTAAGGATAATAATAAAGATAAATTTCCTCTTATTCGTGATCTCTGTTTTTATACAAGTGCACAAATATTTACAGAAACAATGTTAACGACGAACAACGGGGGGTGTCGTTGAGCGTGTTCCGTAGACTTTTCCCACTGTCATTCATTTTCATTTTTTTCTCTTTTCTTCGTTTATATTCTCCTCTCGTTTGTTCGCTTATTTCGTTTCGTTTGCAATCTATCGATCATCGTTCCCGTTTCACGCGTGCTAAATATCACCGACCGCGAAACTCGACCGCGTCCACTCCGGCGGGCAACAACAAGACGGGGCTCGGGACGCTACGTTTTGGCACATCGTCGGTCCGCACACGCGTTCCCATCGGTCGATTGGCACAAATTGGAATTTCGAGCGCCGCTTTGAACGAAAGTACGCTTTCCATGGTTTCTTCCTTCCCCTTCGGCTGCCTTCTTCGTTCTCCCTCCCTTCGCCGCGTAAACCGAACACCGTCTTCCGACTTTCGAACAGCGTCCCGTTGCGTCGGGAACGCGGGACACTGGCAGGGCCGTCGCGGTACAATCGGATGCGAGGATTTCTTAAGCGAACGAACGAAAAAGAACGGGCGATCATGGCAGTTTGCGGTTGGACTCGGAGGTGTCTTGTCTTTCGACGAGAGCGAATGGCGATCGGTAGTTTTCAATTGGGAGACAAATTCTTGCTACCTCTAGGTGGGAATGTTCGTTTGAAATCGTGAACAACATCGTTGAAAGAATTATTCGTGAATATATTAGAATTGAAAGTTGTACTATGAGCAGATCAAGGGAATTCAAGGTTTCGCGATCGGTAAAAAGAATATTAAAATACAAAATGTATTGTAATAAAATATTGGAATTGAAATTTGCACAGATCAAAGGAATACAAGGTTTGCGATCGGTAAAAAGAGTATTAAAATGCAAAATGTATTGTAATAAAATATTGAAATTGAAATTTGCACTTCGAACGGATCAAAGGAATAAAAGGTTTCGCGATGGCTAAAAAGAATATTAAACACAGAATGTATTAAAAACAGTACGCAATGAAATAGCTATTTAAATTTCATCAAGCTACCAAGATGATTAAAACCTTCCTTAAACTGCCATTCAATTTATATCAGTCAACTGATCATTGCACTAGTTTAGCCACACACTTTAGCAGAGCAAATAATTCCAAACGGACACTTCCTCGATCAACCACACGAAACTCCAACTTTGGAATAACAAATGAACATTTCGCATCGTCGATTACATTCAGTCGCAGTTCATTCAATGGAAAACAATTCATAAATCGTTGGCAAGAGCCAAGAAAACCACAAACATGTATCTAGTTGGCCGGTTCCGTTCCGTTCAATCGAAAATCCTTTCACGCTGTTTCGCACACGAGCCTAAGTCTATCGTATTAACGAGGTCTACGGGGTCAGGGAGGTGGATCGGAGGTCGGGGATGAGGTTTCGAGGTACGACTCACTTCCCTGAACAAACACGACGGAGAAAGAGAAAGAGAGAAGGAGGAGAAAGTGAGGGGAAGAGAGAAATATGGAAAGAGGATGTGTCTACGACGAACGATGATAGGGCTCATGGATAACTCCGTGTCGGCGAGGATCGCGGTCCGCGTTGAGTCTCGCCAACGTGCACGCCATCTTGTCGCGAGATGCTACGTCTAGATCCGCGACGACAGAACGTTGCTCCGTGCAACGCGAGTATCCAGTCTCGACCTTAGATATGTTGGCTCACTAGTCGCAAGCTGAAGAATCATAAGGGAATTCTACCCATGGTGCTCTATTAGTAGCTGACAGTGGCGCATAATTGAAAAGACGCATGCTATTGGTCACGCCTCGATCTACTCTCTCGAATACTCAGTTGTTTTTAACACTAGGTTTACGGACATTTACCGTGCGGTTTATTCTACTACTCCTAGAAAAATTCATTTTCGTTCATTCGGATTTTGGAAGTTAGAGATTTAAAAGTAGTTAATCAAAGTAAATATATACCAAATAGTGTCTGTAACATTCAATACGCGTCACATTGACGCGCTCCGTAAACCTAGTGTTAACATGTTGAATGCCATGGGGTCATCAATGACCCCCAACCGAATCGGATTACTATAATTCACTCGGTATGATTATTCGAAAAGATTTCTATATTATCAATAATGCTGCCTAATGCGGTGACATTCAGCTAGATGAACATGCAATAATAATGCAAATCAATGATCTAATATGATATTTTTTCGATTTAGGTATTTTGTTCTATGAAATCATGCGGCATTCAACGTGTTAATGTACGTATTCTCATTATGAATCATTGCTTTCATCTCGTTCTGTGTTCTCATCGACAAATGGATGAGAATTTTGAGTGGATCTAACCAAGACCAATAGCGTGTCTTGGATCTTATGGTCCTGGTTCTTGAAACAGTTATGGAGAATCGAAATAGAGACCTAACTGTTATTAGGAACCAAATACGATGTACCCAATAACAGTTATGATTTTATTTCGATTCTGTTTCAATCGGGAGGTTTTCAATCCCTCTCGGTTCTGACGCGTTGTTGGTCAATTATGGAAAAACGCAACGAAACTGATTGCGACGAGGATGTAATGATTATTAAACGTCGGGATTCGTTGCCCTGTGACTTTTCAGCTCGCGGATAGTCAACCGACACGTCTAAGCTCGAAAATACACGAATCGAGAAAGTTCTCCTGTCGCCGAACTTATTCTCCGCTTCGATATCGTCCGCGGGGTACGTCCTGTAGAAAGTTAGCGAGTGATCTGAAAGAAGGCCGATCTTTCAGCGTATCTTTGGGAAGAATCGTTTCGAACGCGGACTTCTGGCGTTTCCTTGGGGATCAGATTACAGTCGCGATTTAAACCTACTTCGAGCGGGCTGCCCGCGGTCCTGGGGAACCCCGTGTCCGTGGACAACCCGCGAATAAAGAGAAAGTGAGAGAAAGAGACAGAGAGAGAGAGAGAGAGAGAGGGAAGAATCCCGAGGGAAATGGTCGCGAATCGTTGCAACCTGTACGGTCGATTCCTCGGGACTCGAAAGGCTGGCGATCGTGCTTTCGTATATCCGAGGTCCAGTCGAGGAACGAAAATGATCGCGTGTACGCTCGTGTGCACGCTCGTGTGTACTTACCAGAGCTGGGCAGTGATCGATCACCTTGCCGTCACTTTTGTAAACGATTACTAACGATAATCGTTAGTCGTTTCTAGGATTAATCGGTGACGATTAGATAACGTTTAATATGCGATCATTAACACTAGAACCACCGTACCAATCAAAACGACTGATTTCGTTCGTTTTGTATCGCAATTATCGATACCTCAAAAGTATAGAATATTCGAAATGATCTTGAAATTAATCGTTTCACTTGAACAACGAATGTCCAAATCGAGAATTGTTAGAATTTTTAGGATTACATATCAGTCGTATTAAATGTTCGGTAGTTCTACTGTTAATCTGTAGTTCGTACGATCACTTTTGTAATAGTCCAATTGAATTTTTAGCGAATTGCACTTTTCAATTACAATTCACTTCAAATTTCGTGAAACGTGATCGAAGTCGCGATCATTCCGTGATTCGCTTCGATTATCTGAGACATTAATCATGATCGCCGGATTATCCGTTAACGGTAATCGTTAATCGTAGATATGACTTGACGTCGTAATCGTTGATTCGATCATCCTCTGCCCAACTCCGGCTTTCGCTCGACGCTTGAAACGGTTGCCGGTCGACGATCCTCGGAGAACATCTGATGGCACCGACGAATGCAACACGGAAGACTACGCCAAACCAGCGGTACTTGGAGTACGGATGGGTCTGGCTCAGGAGGTTTTTCGATACGCGGTGTGTACGTGTACATGTGTGTGAGAGTGTGTGTGTGTGTACGTGTGTATGCGTGTACGAAACGTTAATATTTTGTATAACAGGCACCAGATAGAAGAACGAGTCCTCGGGGAACTTCGGGGTCAGACTTTCGAGCTTGCTTGCCTTTCATTCTCTCTGGGTTTCGAACTTGAGAACCGGACCTGACGTGAAATGATCAGACTTGTTAGGAGACCAGGTTTCATTTAGGATACTGAGACCAGCCGAGAACCACTGTGTTTATTGTATCCAGGACGCTGGCACCCATTGAGGCTCCCTCTCCAGCGAATTGATCTCCGTCAGCAGATCGTTGTACGCTCGATCCGTGTCGATGTTTATGATGATCATGTCGAACAGGTGGCCGTACTTGTCCTCCATTTCTCGCGCTTTCTCGATTATGTCTTTCAGCTCTTCCTCTTTGAAGCTCTCGTTGTTCTTGATCCTCTTCTGCCTGAGCTTCTCCAGGCTGGGCGGCGCTACGAATACTACGTAAGGCTTCAGGTCCGAGTTGCGGAGGATCTTCAGGCTCTGCGGGTGGAGGTTCAGAACACAGATTTTCCCGGAATTCACCACGGTCCGTATCGCCTCCACCGAGGTGCCGTAGTACGCTTTCTCGTATTCACCGTGCTCGACGAACTTGCGCCCGAGGATGTCCGACTCGAACTGAGAACGCGAGATGAAGTGGTAGTCCTGTCCGTCTACTTCGGAGTCCTTCCTGGGTCGACTCGTGTCTGCGGGAGAACAACGTTTCAACGATCTTTCGGTAGACGGGAGGTGGGTTCGGCGGATTTGGGGATTGGGAGTGTTTCGGTTGACTTTGGAATTTGAACGGAGGAAGTTGAGATTTTACGTTTGAGACTTGAGATTTGAAACTTGAGATTTTGGGACTTGACAGTTGGCGTTTATAACTGGGGATTTGAAACTGGGGACTTAAGACTTGAGATTTGACATTTGTAATTTGAAATTTGAAGACATTTAAGACTTGAGATTTGGGACTTGATAGTTGGCATTTAAAACTTGAGATTTAACATTTGAAATTTGAAATTTGAAGACATTTAAGACTTGAGATTTAAGACTAGACAGTTGGCACTTAAAACTTGAGATTTGAAACTTGAGATTTACGACTTGAGATGTAGGACTTGACAGTTGACATTTAAACCTTGAGATTTAAGACTTGAGATTTGAAATTTGAGATTTAGAACTCGACAATTAGCATTTAAAGCTTGAGATTTGAAACTTGAGATTTAAAACCTGAGATTTAAGACTTGAGATTTAAGACTTGAGATTTAAGATTTGAAATTTAACATTTGAAATTTGAAACTTGAAATGTAGCTTCCTCCCAAAATCTCCTAATTTTTCAATTCAGCGAACTCAGGCCTTGAAGCTTCTAAGTTTAATTCCAAGTATCCCAGACAATCCTGGCTAGAATAATCTTACGAGGAATTGCCGCAGCAAAACGCTCGCTGTCTTGCATCAGTCTCTGTCTCAGCTCGTGTCGTCCGATATTCGGTGGTCCGATCAGAACGATAGGTCTCTTGTGGTCCGCCTTTGGATAGTACAACGCGACTTCCTCGTACGTTAGCACCTCCTCGCTGTCGTAATCTACGGAACACAGGCATCCCATTAACGAACAAACCCACCAATCAGTCGCCATTACAATATCCCATTATTAATCTACCGTCGATGGCAGTCGTTGCGTAATGCGGATACCCGTCGTCGTTGTAATTCGCCCCGAACTTGTTCCGTTTCTTCTTCTTCTGGTTCTTCCGGGCGCAGAGCAGCGTGCTAGACTTCTTCGAGCCTCGCACGGTCGACTTGTCACCGGCGATCGTTTGCTTCATCGACTCTCGTCTACGGTAAAAGCGATTGAAATGTTGCGCCGTGGCGAAAGGTCGAAGATAAATTTGTCCGCTAAGTCCGGAACAGCTTTATCCACGAGCAGAGATCGACCAGTGTCGGTATTTTTAAATAAATGACAAGCACGAGAGGACTCGGTCTTATTTAACACGTTGACTGCCGTCGTGTCACCGATAACCGATATTTCCGACTTACTTCACAGCAATTATAATGTCAGGAACTGATGTCGAATAAAACTATTTAATAGCATAACTACTTTACTTTAACTATTTTCACACTTGCAATATTAACCGTTATGATACTAAGTAATCAATAATTGAGTCGTTCAGAAACTAATACGGTTAAGCCGATTTTCTGATATTTTCTGATTTTTCTAAATCTTAATGGAATACATAATATTCTTAATATTATTATGATATTCTTTCGTTTCTTCTAGGTCATAAAGACCTTTTTATAGCTTCTGAATATGTATAATCATTTCGGAAACCGAAACATTAATTTTCACAATGTTTGCTTTTTGGTTAACATCATTGACTTCTGAGAGACCCAATTCTTCCTACGTATGTTCGCTAGGGAAGACTAAGTCATGTACAAAAAGAAAACTCGAGATTCCGTTGACAGTCAACGTTAAATGAAACAAATGGATCCATTCATCACGAAACCGTAATTAAGTTATCAGCGTAATTTTAACACTATTTCTACCGAAGGTGTCAAAAGACTTTTGAAACTTTGACTAAAAGTTATTTTCTCAGTCTAATCATTCCTCAATAGAATTTCGGACATTCCCAATGTTTAATTGTATAATCGTTATTGGAGAAGTCGAAACGTCAATTCAGAACATACGATTAAACTTGTATAATAATTGTAAGTTAAAATTTCAAAAGGTGCCTTTTGACAGCCTGTAGTGTTAATACATTGCGTACTGGCTAATTTTCAGAAAACTGAATTGTGATGGCAATTTTCACTGAGGTCAACTTATATCACTACACATAGAAAAACTCAGATATCATATTGTTATGTAATATATTCTAAATAGATAATCAATTCGAATTAAATTTTATATTCTTTCAATGCTGTGGCAATTAGCAAAATTGCATAGCAAAGTGTCCATATAAAAACGAGATTTCTCGTTACCGGTACGCAATGTATTAAGTCCAGAATGAAGGAAAAATTGTATAATATGAGAAATAAAGTCCAGCTGACTTCCGTGTTCTGCCAAAGCTTTTACAATAATGAAAACATTTAACATTTAACCTAACATTTTATGATAATGAAAAATGGGATATCATATTGTTATGTAATATATTTTAAACGGATAACGAATTCAAATTAAATTTTATATTTTTTCCAATGCTGAGGTAATTAGGGAAATTCCATAGCTAAGTGTCTTCATATAAAAACTCGTTCTCGTTACCAGTACGCAATGTGTTAACCCTTTGCGGACGAATGTCGACGTTTCAACGAGATGAAATTTTCATATTTAAAAGACTAAGTCGCGAGCAGATGATTTAATTACTCAAACGGCAAGGGATCAGCACGTAGCTTCCATTTTTTATATCAATTAAGCAATTGCTAGGTAATTCAGTTTCATCTGCTGAAGCTTTTGTATATTTCAAAGAACCTTCGTCCGCAAAGGGTTAATATACTCGAAACTGTACACAAACGTGGTGAAACTATCCCGGACTCAGCCTAATACGCGAGGATCGGCCGTCTTACTGATTCTGGAAGGCTTTGCTGGGTATCAAGCCAGCCAAAGTCTGATCCTCTTCGCCCTCCCGGTACGCCTGCCACCAGTTCGGGTCCTCCTGAGAGATCACGTGCAGCACGTCGCCTTTCTGGAAGCTGACGCCCAACTCCCGGCAAGGGATGTACGGATCCTCCTCGGGATCGTAGTCGAAGTGCGCTCGTATATGCTGTATCTGCGGAAAGAACATTGTCACGCTGATTCTTCAATCCCGCGTAATTCCGGTGAATCCGAAAGCGTCGATAGCACAACGCTCAGCCGTCGATTAATATTAATGAGCATTCATGAGTTACATTATGCCCACGTCGCGGGACCTCGCGCGTTAATGGCGTACGAGGATCTTCGGGGGATTAATAAAATGCAAATCTCGATAATATCTGGTACAGTCCCACTTCGCCGTTAATTCAATGAAGTCGCTCGCGATGGGAATTAGCTTTCACTCGACGGCCATTTAATTGAATTCCTTCGCAGAAACGTAGATCTGCGTGGGCACCCGTGCCGCGGCTACTTAACCAATGTAATTACATGTAATCAAGAATCGGAATGCGTTCGAATAATTTACTATTTATCGCGTACCGCTTGTTACACCACTGAATCGGATACCTGGTTGGTGTCGTCTCTTCTGTTCGACAAGTTGTTCCAGTGACTTGTGGGCGCCGGTAGCACGAGGAACGTTAAACTGCCTTGCATACCGGCTAGGATGTCGCAGACCTCGTTCACGCTCTTCCCTCGCATCTCCACGCCGTTCACCTCGAGGACCTCGTCGCCCTCGTGGAGGAGCCCCGACTTGTCCGCCGCGCCGCCGCGCACCACGCGACCTTCGAGACGAATTTTCTTTGTTTATCTTGTTTCGCTATTCCGTCTAACGTCGAACGTTATATTAAGAATATCCATCATTACTGACTATTATTATATTTATCGTTATATCCACCATTATATCCGTCATTATATCTACCATTAGATCTACCATTATATCCGTGATTACATCCATCATCGTATCTGCCATTATATCTACCATTATATCTATCATTATACGTACCCCATCCGCGATTACATCTATCATTAGATCTATTATTACGTCTATAATATCTATTTCACTCATAATACCCCACTGTCCTATAACTTCGGATCGTCCAATATTCCGAATCTAATCTGATTGGAGGGAACGACGGTGTCTCGAGTCTAAAGGGAACAACGAAAACGTAACCGCCGTACCTATAATGACGGCGTCACCCTCGTTCCTGACGGTAGCACCCAAGGGTTCGTTCGTCTTCTCGATTCTGATGATTTTAATGTTGTCCACCGCCCGGGGACCACCTCTCCAGCTGGACGTAGGACTGGGAGGTCCGCTCGGCGACGAGGACGAAGGACTCTGCTTCCTCTGCAATCCGTCCACGTACGAGACGATTGAATCGTGTGCGAGAAGCAGAGCCTCCATGTCGTAGCTCGTCAGGATTCCGTTCAGCTCCTCGACGGCTGTTATCGTTTCCGCCCCGCCGACACCTGTTGCCATCGACGACGATTGCCATTTCTCCAGAATCTCGACGCACTGAAACGTTGTTCCGTTTTATGGCGAACCACCGCCGCGCGCTTTCGTGAAATCATCCTCCCTCCGAGCGAATAAGAGACGAACGACCGATGAAAACATTCTTGATATTCACGGCCACGTTTCCTTCGCTTTTACGACGTCTGAGCAATCTTTGTCTAGATGCACCACGGTTCAAAGTGTACCGTGCGCTTTTGTTCGCCGTTTCGTCGGCTGCGAATCGTTTCGTTCGCGATTCGACGGAGAACAATGTTAACACTAGGTTTACGGAACGCAAATTGACGCATATTGGATTTAGGAATATTATTTTGGAAATGTTTACGCCGATTTTTATTGATGCGATCTCCAGTTTCCACGATCTAAATAAACGAGCATCGATTCTTTTAGGAATAAGAGAATGAAGTGTACAATAGATGCCCGTAAACCTAGTGTTAAAAATTGTAAGAATAGATTATTTTCAGTTTCTTCAGACATTCACTATAGTATTCGAATGAAACTGTTTATTTTTAAAATCATTGCAATATTCAATGCTTTTAAGGTATCATTGCGAAACAAAAAAAACCGGTCATTTTGACTGTTATGGTGGTTCTAGTGTTAAACTTCACTCGTTTCTTTCAATATCAAGTGTACTGTTTCAATTCTCTGTGTTAATGGAAAGCTTCTGCTACTAGGAATCGAATGGCAAGTTACATATTCATAAACTTGACTCGTAGTTGGGAAATAACATTGTCTACCGAGAACATTCGATAGTTGACGCTGGAACTACCGTGGAATTAGAGCGAGTCACTAATTTTTTACTAAGATTGGATCAGTCTCTCGAGAATTTCAATTCGAAGCGCTTCTTAGTGACACTTGCATAAATGCCGGCATTTCGAAATTTCTCAGGAAAGCATCGTTTTAATGATTGTAAAGTAAGAATCTTGGAACGAGTCATTTCTCTGGTAAGTCTAGTGTCAGGGGATTAACCCTTTGCGGACGGAGATTCTTTGAAAGGTACAGAATCTTCAGCAGATGAAGCTAAATTGTACAACATTGCTTAATTAATAGAAGAAAAGGATATTACGTGATCTCTTGATGTTCGAGTAATTAAATCATTTGTCTACGACTTAGTCTCCCAAATATAACCATTTCATCTCGCCGAAATGTCCTTTTGTAGATTCTGCCAAATCACACATCGAATGATTAAATAATATGGAATAAGGAAATTATGTTTCTCGCTGTTTGAGCACTTGAATCATTTGTTTGCAACTTAGCATTACAAACAAGAAAGTTTGATCTCGGTAAAGTGTCGACATTCGTCCGCAAAGGGTTAACACTAGGTTTACGGGCATTATTGTTTATTCCATTGTTCCCGGGGAAGTTGATATTCGTTCATTTAGATTTTGGAAATTGTAGATGTAGAAATAGACAATCAGGAACGAAAACCGATTAAAACATTTACCAAATAATGTTTATAAAATTCAATCCGCGTTAAATCGACGCGTTCCGTAAACCTATTGTTAAATTAGATGTAATTATTGATCGTTTGAATGGCGATCGACCAGTTGTCTCTTGTTAGGTTCAGTTTGATGCTTCTACGTACGTCCCGGGCCAAACTGGACGCGTCCTCCGTGTGATGCTTCAGAACTTTATTCGATCTCAACCTGTTCTTCAAGGCGTGGTGGGTGGCCAGGGCGGACGCGAATCGGTTTTGCACCAGCAACGTCCGCACTGCTTCAAGTTCGGCTTCTACGCCAGGACCAGAGATACCCAGGGCACCGGAAATGCTGCGCAGCTGAAGCTGTAGCCTCTCCAGGGTAGCGACCACCTCTCCGTACGCTGAAACGTGGTTTAAGGTATCATCACACTGCATTATATTCCATCATAGCGACAATCCTTTGCACTCGGGAGAGTTTTCGCTAGATATCGTCATTTTCCAATGAATTATGTTAACCTTTTAGCTACCGCGAGACTAGCAAGGTTTGACACGGTTTGCGTATTATAAATGTATCACTGCGATTCGAGGAAGATAGAATTGTCCGCTGTGCAATTATGTTAGATTAGACTATAATGCGCACGACTATCTGTGACAAAGAATTGTGCTGATGTAGTGGTACAATATTCAGAAAGACGATATAAGGAAAGCCATCATGGCGGCAATAGCTGAAAGGTTAATGATACTTCTCTAGCAACGTAAATATGAACAATAGAGATTAAGAGGATTCGATTTTAACATTTCATGTATATTTATGCGAACTTTAGTATTGAATATCGAATAATTTTACAACGTCAAAGTAGTCTTTAAAATGCAGAGAGTTAAATATTAATTTCTTCCGAGTTTCGGAGATTTCTGCAAGCCACGAATGCCTGGATATTCGTAGTCTTGTTGATGTGGCGTGCATGATCTTCGTAGAAAATGAATATATGTCGTTATTTAAAAAAAATATTAGGAAATTAGCCTCTTGGAGATTGGGTTAAGAGTTTGTAGAGCACTCTCGCCAAGTGGGCCGTGTCTGGGAAACTTAATTATAAGAAAATGCTGGTGCATGCTCATAAATTTCGGAATTTAATGGATTCACCGTCGATGGGATTTTCGGCTACTCTTTCCACTGCAATCGTGGAATTGAATTTATTAATTAAAAGGAAATCGACTCTGTTCGTGACGAAATTGTCAACGACGTTCGATAATTTGTATTTGTAATTCCTGCGAATTTACCAATTACCGAAGAGAACTGCCGAACAATTGGGCGTCGCGTTGCAGTGTCAAGAGAAGACGATTATTAGCTTCCAGCGCAGGGATCCCATGAATCCCGGAAGTACGAGGTGAAAAAGGGCCGACAATCGAATTATGGAAATATAAACAGGGCCTGCCTAAGTGGGCAGAGTGTCGTTACCCTGCCGTCGACTTGAGAGCCACCGTCAACGAGGGTGGTGTACGCGCCGTCTGAGAAAAGGATGATCTTAAGAGACGCGGTGGTCGAGATGAAATGCGAGTGAAAAAAATGTCCTGGCGACATTAAGACGCTAATCCAGAGTACCCAGACAGACGTGACATCAGACTCGAAATACTTCCACATGTTACAAGGTGCAACGGAAAATTCAACGAAATTCCGTCTCCTTATAAATTTTACTTACATATTTCACAGAATTTCGCAATTTAGCAGGTGAATACACAAACTTCTAGAATCCAGTTAACCCTTTGCACTCGAAAGTTTTTTGCTAGAAATATTCAACGCTCTTTGATAAAATATAGACGATGCTTGCTGCGACTAATGTAAATAATCGATAAATTAAGAGACAAAGTAATTTACTTTGATATTTCACATAACGATGCGTTATACAAAGTTTAGTATTAAACATGAAACTTTACAGTTTTACTGTATCAAACCAAGTGGTGACCGAGAGTGCAAAGGGTTAATCGTATTAAATGCTCGGCAGTTCTAGCGTCAGCAGGGTTGCGGTAGATAATCATAATGTTTCGTCAATCCGAAGACTTACTGAGGGGCCTGGGAGGCTCCTCGACGTCCTGCACGGTGTTCGCGAACACATGGCTGGGCCTGGCGACGGTCGTCACCTCGTCCTGGGCGTACGCGGGATTCTCCTGTCCGGCGAGGCTCGTCGCGTGGCTCTCCAACGCCTGCAGCTTGGTCGATCCGCGCAGCGATCGATTGAGTATCTCCTGCCTCTCCTCTTCATCCTTCCGTTTCCGCAGCTGCTCCTACAATCAGATCATCGATTTACGGTCTTCCGAGACCCGAAGCCGCCTCGGATCCGACAATTTCCTGGAGCCCGTGAACCTCTTAATTCGATCTTCTTCTGGCTGCGACGACGCGAACCCAATCGACGACGAACGAATGACGCACAGCGAGACGGAAAACGGGAACAAAGACACCGTCGGAGGGCGACGGGGGCGGAGGGGGGACATTTAATTACCTTACCTCGTCGGTAACCACCGATTTACGTAATTTCGCGGATACGACCGCGGATGGAGCTATCGATCGAACGCGAACAGCTCGCGACGAGGTTCGTGTCGCGAGGAGAAAATCATTTCGAGACGATCCTACGGTAACGAGAAACGAGACGGCGAGCTCCGATCGGCCGCGGACACGATCGACGTATCCGGTGATCGGTATTTGTCAAGCGATCAGGCCTTTTCAGCGAAGCGGAGCCGCGATCGAGAGAGAACGCTCGACGACGACGACGACGACGACGACGCCGTGTCCTTGGACCTTCCGTTTACCTACCTCCTGCACCTTTCCCACGCATCTCGTGCCCGGAACGTTCGAGAAACTGGCAGAGCGGACAACAACACACCGAACGAAACGGACAACCGTAAGGGAGAGAATGAAAATGGGGGAGATGCGGCTGCTGCGCTGGCGAACATCCATGGAACGAACGGCGACTAGCGATCTGTGCTGAACGATGCAAGCGGTCCAACGGACTTCCGGCTGACGCGTCGAGTGCACGATGATTTTCGTACTTCAGCTGAGACGGACGTCTCGTCGAGTATTCGTTGCAAGAAAACATTGTATCGAGATGCTTGTGTCTTCTTTCGAAATAATTTGTAAGATCGTTTATGAAAATTGTGAAAATTGTATCATTGGTGATTGAATCATTTGTAACTATAAATCTAGGTGAACTTGCAATTTGAATATAGATTAAACAGGAATGAAGGTGAATTGTATATATCAATTTAAGATAGATTAGAAATTTTAATAGAAATACAGTCGAATCACGGTTGTTTGAAATATTAATCAAACGAACGATTTACGATAACGTCGTAATTGCAGGTCACCGACGGCCACGCGATGTCGCCGAACGAAATGCCGGCCATCAGTGGCCGCCGCACGGCATTCGACGCGTCAATCCGAAGCGAAGCGAGAATTGCGCTGAAATGAAATCGATCCTCGCTATCGGCGGCAATAAATCCGCACGGGAATCGGCGCGATATCGGCCCCGTCCCGACACGGTTTCCCCGTCGATCCGCCGATCAACGCCCACCGGCCGATAACAGGCCCGCCGCGCTCGCGGAAAAATAGCCTGCGAAACGGCCGTCGCCTGGCCCGATTTATGTAACTCCACGGGCAGAAATACTTGGACGAAGCCCCGTTTACCCTCGTACGGCTTCGCGGGCGTCACCTCGTACCGATTCGATGGATTTCCCTCGCGGCGGCGAGCCGGGGGAAACCAGCCGAGCGTCCGAAATCGGGGGATCGAGCCTCGAATTCGCGCGAATCGATTGTATCTGCTCGGGGGGGCGGAACAGGGGTGACAAGAGCATGGTATCGAATGAGGCGGTCGCCCATCGGGCGTTTCGTTTGGTTTCCGGCGAGAGTTTTGCGCTCTACGTGGAATGATTCCGATTCGAACGGTGTAGATTGCGGAGCACGTGAACGACTAAGACACTTAACATGCAGAACAGTCGGGGACACACAGAGAACGCTAAGATTCACGGCCAGGCAACAGATCTAGAATTTCAGACGACGATGTGCATTGATTGGACAGGCTGAACCTGGAACCCGCGAACGCCGAGGGTTCAAGCTTCAACTCGACTGCACTGGAATCTTAGAGACGTGAGATCTAAGTTCTCTCTTCCGGAGAGCAGTTCGTTCAGCAATGGATTATCGGGTCTTGTATATTGACGCAGCGATGGCGAGGGAATCGATAAGTTTTTCAATCTTATCTCTCGAACTTCCGAAATCGTCGAGCAAGGTATAAATTCAATAGCTCTAAGAACCATCGAACACCATCTACAACGTACAGATCGAGTCACACATTTTCCACCTCCAAGCAAATTCGAAGAATCTAGGACCAACCTCCATTCCCTCGAATGGCGCCAAATAGAAATAAAATCGACATCTGCGTTGAAACAGTATTCCAAACTCATAATACAACGTCATTCGCATCAACGTCTGGAAACACGAACACACGAAATTCCGTACGGTTCATCGGTGCCCAAAAATCCGACAGGCGAAGTCTCCGGGCTGCATTCCCAGCGATCCGGAGACTCTCTCGAGAAAAAAAAACCCGTTACGTTAGATCTCGCATCTTCCCTCGAGCATCTCCCGGCCGAGTGACGAGCACAGAAGCATCGGTATCTGGTCAACAGAAAAATAACGCGTTCCGTGCCAGAGGCTGGCAGCGATGCGAGCCTCGCGCGTATCGCCGGGATAATAACTGCAGGCGAGGCGACTGGTTATCGTTCACGGGGGACGATTCCCGATGGAACCGGCGTCCGAGTATCTGGTTTTGAGCGGCGCGTCGAGAAAAAATGCGGTTTCCCCGTCAACGGCCAGGGAAAAGCTCGTAGCGAGGTCATGGTTGGAGCGCCGCGCCGGTCGCGCGGGCCGGAGGGGGCTGAGTCAGCTTACGTTCCTCTACACCTATCGAAAAACATCGTAACGTTACACTCGAGCCTTGTAATCTTAGACCATTGTGCGCCGGGGGGGAAGCGGTTCTTTACATTCCAGACCACACTTGACTTAAGGTGGCCGGGGCGCGAGGGTTTTATAAGGCGGGCGTGTACCGAGAGCGCGGCGCGCGCGGCTTCGCTCCGCTTCTGGCATTTCTCACGCGCCCGCCTGCCTGCCTGCCTCGTATCGGGGGCCCTTTCTACTCCGGCCACTTTTGACTACGACACCGTACCACGGAGCTCCTTGAACTTCACTGGCGAACGAGCCGCCGGTTCTTTCTGGCTGGAGCCTGTTGATCCTTGGATCTACGGAGCTACGCTTTTTCTCGATATCTTCTCGATATATCAATAATAATAACGTAATTCAATTGCATAAGTTGGTACCACGTTATTTTCATTTTGCATATTTTCCTCGGCGAAATCGTGCGGCATTCAGCGTGTCAACTATACATCCTATCATCCTCCATCTTCTTCGTTTGAGACTCGTCGTGGAGGTTGATAGGATGTAGAGTTAACACGTTGAATGCCGCACGATTTAGCCGAGGAAAATATGCAAATGAAAATAACGTAGTATCAACTTATGTAATTGAATTACGTTATGGTATTGCAGGTTCATCTTGTCGAATGTCACTGCATTGGTTAGCATTATTTATGATATAGAAATGTTTTCAAATAATCAGTATTCAACCCTTTGCACTTGGATGTTTTTATTAGAAATATTCAACATTTCTTTCTTTCTTTCTTTTAACATTACAAATATTTAACATTGAGGAACAAAGCTGTTTTATTCAATGTTTCACGTATCGAGGCATTATACAAAGTTTAACATTAAATATCACATTCTACAGTTTTACTGTGTCAAATCAAGTTGTGACAGAGTCACCTCTCGAGTGGAAAGGGTTAATTTAGTGGACTATAGTAATTCGATTTGGTTGAGGTCACCGGTGACCTCATGGCGTCCAACGTGTTAATCCATTCGCATCGTACGAAAAAGTGAAAAATTGGTCCTCGCCACAAATGTTTCAATTGCATGAGAATAAGAATGGTTCGAGACGTATAAGAAAGTAAAAACGTGTATAGCGACAATTATTGCACTCGTAAAATGTGCCTTTCCCTTTTTTTGTGATGTACAAATTACACGGTGGCGCACATAATGCGCTTGTGATGCAAATGGGTTAACACGTTGAATGCTATGGAGGTCACTGCGGACTAATTACAATTATTATAGTTCACTCAATTAAACCATGATTATTTGAAAACATTTCTATATTATAAATAATGCTAACTAATGGCGGTGACATTCAGCTAGATGAACCTGCAATAATAACAATGCAATTCAATCAAATGATTTAATATTATATTTTTTCCATTTCAAGCATGTACCATGAAATCGTGCGGCATTCAACGTGTTAAAGCTTCGATTTTGATTAAATCGTTTGTTAGTGTGTTTAGTATACTCTGCTTGTTTTTGTTACTATAATTCGGTTTCTCTCTGAATTTCGAAGATTTTTGATGAGTTGGTTTAGGACTTCAGCAAGGTGATTGATACTCGTAAAATTGAGATTTCCCTCTAAACTACTCGAAGCACTGATCGTTCGCTATACTGAATTATTACGAAATGATTTCCAAGGTAAACTGCGATTCAGGTTGATCACCGACACGCGTACTCCGCATCTAGATCATCTACGAATCGAAGACAATCGTCGTCCCCTACGGTCGTTGCCGATCCGAAATGCGTCGCGGCTGTAACCGGTAGCACGGTGAATTATTAAAAAGGCAGCATTTGTATGCAAATTCGAAATTGATTCCCGTCAGCGCAACTGGTTCTCCGGGTCAAGATTTCTCTCGGAGCGATTTACCAGGCAGAAACACGGCAAGCGGCGATTAGAAAATTGCCTAACGATCCGCATACCGTCGAGCTCCATCCCACGGTCGGTTCTCTCTCCGAGCATCGTTTGCATACGCCTTTAAAAGCGCGTGCAACAGCTGCGCCGCGCCGGTTGTCGTAGGTATCGCCGATTAATTTCCCGGCGCGCGTGCAAACCGTTCGTTCCCCGGTTCAAATAGGAAATTCGAAATCTATAGAAACGTTGGCCGCGCCAACGGTCCTTCGGCGGCCATTGTGCGGCCGGGGCCGGCAATTTCCTGCGCGGACCCGCGGACACGCCGCGCGCCCGTCCCTTTAAACAACGATTCCGTCGATTCCGCCGCCTTTACAACCTTACGCAACGCTAAATTATTCATGCGGAATGCCAGAGCTGTGTTCCGCGTTGAATACTTCTCGCGATTACTGCCCGAAATACCCCTCTCGCCGACGCGCTCGCCATTATTTTGCTTTAGTGGCCAATTATCGACGCTGCTGGACTGGCTTCGCTGACAGACCACGGGGAAGAATAGAATCATTCTGGATGGAATCATGACATGGTTTCGATGTGAAAGAATCTTGGGAAATAATTAGGTATCTTTGATCTTTTTCGTGGGAAACTGTGGATCGTTTTATATACTCGTGTTTTTAGGAGTTATCTTGGGAAATGCTGAAAACCGAAGTTTGTTGGATTTGTTAGATTTGTTTATTAAAATTTACGTATCAGTGATGCTGAAGAATCTGGAGAAATGATTAGGTATCTTTGATCTTTTCCGTGGGAAACTGTGGATCGTTTTATATATTCGTGTCTTTAGGAGTTATCTTGGGAAATGCTGAAAACCGAAGTTTGTTGGATTTCTGTTAGATTTGTTTATTAAAATTTACGTGTATTTCAGTGATGCTGAAGAATCTTGGGAAATGATTAAGTATCTTTGATCTTTTCCATGGGAAACTGGATCGTTTTATATACTCGTGTTTTTAGAAGTTATCTTGGGAAATGTTGAAAACAGAAGTTTCTTAGATTCCTGTTAGATTGATATTTGCTTGTTAGAATGTACGTGTATTCGAGTGACCAAGGTTCGAGTTCCGATATGACACCGTTGATTTACTGCTACTGTTTATTATAGGTTCAGTGACTCGCGCCGCAGGTGTTCCGTAGAAGTTCACGAGACTGCAGTGAAACGAAAACATTGCTAACGACTCGAACTAATGAATTACGTAGTGCACACGTCGTTCCTTATCTTTGCCAGAACTGGCAACTACGTGGCATGCAAGTGTTATTTCACTTAGCAACAGATCGGTTAACAATCGACATCGCCTCGGTCAAGCAGAATGTGAACGTGGCCGAGTGTCCTCCTCGCGAAACAATATCGCTCTTCTGTCTAATAGACCATAAATTAATCAAACATTCCTAATGCACACCTAACATAGAGAACTCGAATGAAAACCTATAAAACTCAAATAAATCTCGTACTGAACCAACCACGCTATTTCCCACGATAGACAAACCACAACAGACCTAAAATTTTTCATTCATCTTCGACTCACACAACCTCGTTAATTAATCCACGATCGAGAAGGCTTTCCTGAAACGTCAGAACTCCGTTCCACATCGTCAGAGACAAGGACTCCTCAGAAAAGCATGATCAACGACGATCTAGCCTCGAGCGGATCAATGAACACACAGGAAGGGCCACGGGACCGAAACCACGCGAGACGGCCGCGAACGGAATCATACCTGGTATTTTCTGATGGAGTGTAGCTGCTGCTGCGTGGGCTCCGCATTGGCGTTATCGGTGCTCTCCACATTATTGTTCTGCGTGGACAGACGTAGATTATCTTTCGGCGGCCTGGCTGGCGCCCTCTTTTGATCTCTCGGCGGTATGGCAGGTTTCAGCCCGTTCAGACCGGCCTAAAAATCCGTTCCGGAAAGAAACAGGCTCGCATTAATCCAGCCGGGAACCGGTGGCCGCCGCGCGATCGCGGCTGCGTCACAGGTGTACATCGTTTTAACAAAACTCCTTCGCCTCGGTGATTCGACAATTTCCATCGAAGGAGTCGCTCGCTCGCTTCGTTTTCGTTTCGTTTCGATTCGTTCCTCCTCTCTCCTCGTTGCCGAACGACCGGTCGTACGACCACGACGGGCACCCGTCGCGCGTCCGCTTCCGTTCTCGACCACGCGGAAGCGAACAACGCGAAGCTCGGAGAGGAACAGTTGGCGGAAAGTAGACGAAGAAGAAGAAGAAGAAGATGAAGAAGAAGAAGAGAGAGAAGATGAACAGGAAGAGAGAAGTGTGGCAGACGAGAAAGACGCGAGAGACAGAGGACAGCCGGGGCGATTGCACTACGAGAGACAGTTTCTACGGCTACGCGGAGAGTGTTCGCAATTGGCGCTGTCTACTTTACCATGCTTCCCAAGTCTACTAGTGTGTCCGTTCCGCATGCGATCTCTGTTGCCCCTTGTCCCGTGAGAAACGGAGTACTCCGTGCTCTTTGCAGCTTCGCTTGCCAGCGATCGAGGAATCACGGGGAACGTGTCTGTGCTCGTTCGAGGCTTCTTTTCTTCGCTGATTTTTTAGGAATCGCCGATGGAGATGTTGGAGTTTTGATATTTATTGTGGTAATGGGACGTAAGAGTCCCTTGAGATTTGCCTTTTCTAAAGGTTTGGAGCCGAGTGACTTAATTTATGATGGAACGATGAGATTGTAGATTTATAGATACTGAGCAAAATAGATTACCGAGTAGGATATTTAACATAATCTACACAAGAAAGCATGTAGAATAACATACTAACGAAGGAACATATTCCAATACTTTACACGTATATTTTAACACGCGTTCTGCTGGAGTCCGTCAAAATACCTGTCGACACTTTTTGCACGGTGACGCTCGCTCAAAAGAATTCTGCGCAGGCTAATGCTCAACGTTAACACGTTGCACGGTTATTTTGGACGACCGTCGTTACAGTGTATACCAGAAGAATCTCTCTTCAATATCGCAGTCAACATTGACTATATACTCAATCCCGTCTCATCGTCGCAAGAATCTGAGCGTCAACCCGTCCGAATACCACGAAGACAATTTCCATCAAACTCCATCTCCAAGAAGCCTCGAACAAGAGACGACTCCGTTCCATTGAAATCTCAATAGCCTAAGTTTCAAGCCACAATGAAAGATTCCCCGGTCACCACGAAGCCCGAAGAACCACCCGCACACTCCGTTTCAACGGGGCAAGGGCAGCGAGGAAAGGTCAAAGCAAGGTTTACCTGATGTCTGTCAAGTTGATCTAGTCCCTGGCACGAAGCGTACATACGTGTCCTCGAGGAAGCGTCCGAGGGGTTCACCAGTTCCGTGGTGTGCTGGCTCGAACCGCGTCGTCTCGCACCAGGATACCGTTTAGCAGGTGTCCACCAGGAGTTCGTTAGTCGGGCGAGATTCGTGTCCGAGTGGCAGGATCGGCGCAAGCCGGGTCGGAAGTGATCGGGTCGGGGACGGGTCAGCTCTGGGTTGCTCGTCGACGCGTCCCGGTTCACCGGTGGACCGCCGGGACAGCCCGGAAATAGCTTGGACCGTTTGTACTCGAGAGACAGCCGGGAATTTTTCTGGTTCTGCGCGTTGGGGGACTCGTCCAGGACGCTAAGACGCTCCTCGCTGGCCCAGGCGGCTGGGTCCAGGCACCGCGGGCCGCGAGACATTTCGCGCAAGGAATTCCGGGAATTTTGATTGGTCTCCTCGACGAACGACAGCCGTCGCGACGGGCCGTTCGTCGAGCCTCCGGCGAACGTGCCCCGCGACGAGGACTCGTTCGGGCTGTCTCTCTCCTCGAAGACGACGCTGCACGGACCGTTCGCAGCGTCGCCGGGGAACAGGGACAAATCCCGCGAGAAACGCACTTGCAGTTGCTTAACCTTGGGACGGTCTACGATCAGGTTCTCCATGGACTCGGACCAGTCCGGCTTCGAGAGCGAACGGTTAGGACTCGAGCCGACGGTCTCGTCGTTGATAATGAATCCGAGGGATGCCGGGCCACGGACAACGCTCGGTTCGAGCCGTGAGCCAGCGCTCGGACGGAACGGCGGCGGGGTGTTGTTAGAGGGTGAACAGTGCAGCGTGCTCAAGGAAGCGTGACGTGGAAGCGTTTTGCGGTGACGTGGCTCGTGGTGGTGGTGCACGAAAGATAGAAAGCTGTCGAGAAGCAAACTCTTGACTTTGGACCTTACCTTCTTCGAGGAGTCGTGCTTTCTGTCTAGCGTGCGCGGTGCAGCGACGGTCTCGTCGCTGCTAGCCACGAGGCTATGATCGTTCGAGGGGATGCAAGGTGGTTGTGATGGTTGTGATGGTGGTGGTGGTGATGTTGGTGGTGTCGGTGGTGTCGTTTGTTGCGCCGACGACGGGGATGTTACCGCGGTACCGAGGCTAGTGCACGCGGCCGTACCGTCGTCCCCGGTCACCAGCAGGCCCACGTCGCGGTTCACGATCCCGTTACGCTCCCGTTTCGGCTCTAGAGTGTTCTGCTTGCTGTTCCCGGGGGTCTTGTTCGGCGGGGGATAGACGGGATGGCACTTGGTCACCGGCACGAAATCGGGCGGGCAATCGACGGCCACCTCGCGGTACGTCCTCCCACCGACCACTAAAAAGCTACGGTCAGCGTGATGATGCTGTTCGTGATCGGTGGACGCGTCGCTCCTCAACGTCGAGTAACCGCTAGAGATCTGCTGGTGCTTCTTCTTCTTCGGTCGCTGCCTCGAGGACGAGGAGAGGCTGCTGCCCGACTCGATCCCGACTAGATCCTCGTTAGATCCGGAAGATCGTATCAGCTCCTCCACGTCTAGACTCCTGGTTTTAGCTTTCAGCTTGTTCCGCTCCTCCATTTGTCTGCGGGTCTTCGTGCTTTTCGAGGACTTGCCGACGGTGTTCGTGTCCGACTGCAACTGTTCCTTGACCCTGGCCGGAGAGCCTCTGTCTTGGTCCCTCGGGAGTCTAGGGATGGTGCATTGCTCGTCGATCAGTCTGGTCAGGTCGGACACCTCGTCCGATCTCATCAGCAGACCCTGGAGATCTTGGAGATCTGCCAGCCCGTACGCTGGATTGTCGAAAGACGTCGCTTCCCTCGTTCTGCCGAACCTGGGAGCGACTTTGATCTCCGGGACGACCGGCCTGCAAGGAGAGCCTAGGTCTATTCTCCTGGCGTCGTACGTGGGCGAGTCTTTCCCTCTGTTCTTCGCGTGTCTCAGGACCAGACTGCTGTCCAAAGGAGCCGTGCTGTCCGACCGACCCGATGAGCTCCTCGGACTGGCTGAATCGTCGCTGCAGGTCTTGAGCATGGTCGGGTAATCCTCCTTGGCGAACGGGTAATCCTCCTCGACGTCCACGTCGACGCTGGACTCTTTCTGCCCGTTCGTGTCCTCGTTCACTCCTTCGTCCTCCTCCTCTTCCTCGAAGTCTTTGAAGGGATTCTTCAGGTCCAGCGAGCCCAACGTCGACGGACTGCGACGGTACTTATCGTTGTCCGAGTCTTTGGCGCAGTCCTTCCTGGACCGTTTACACTCGTCCTCGTCCTCGAGGCTCTCCGAACCGATCTTTAGCTCGATCTTGACCATATGCGGCTGGTGATGGCCGTTCCTCACGCACGATCGCACGCTAGAGTCCGTCACGTCCGTGTGCTCTAGGCTAGACACGATTTTCACGCGGTCCTCGAGGATGCGCGGAGGCGGCGGCGGCGGAGGCGGCGCAGGCGGTGACTTAAGGGTGTCGTTTTTAAGGTTTAGGGAGAGGTCGAGGTCGCTAGCTAGCTCGCTACGGGGGCCACGAAGCTCGTTCCTATAGTCGGAAGAGCAATTCTTTACCTTGTTGGGGTAGGCCTTCTGTAGAAGGGTGTCGGGTACGTCGACTGGTAGCTCCCGGTGAGGCCCTAGGCCGCCAGGGGCCCACATCTCATCGGGACCCAGTCCCTCCTGCGGCTTCTTCGCGTTGTTGTTCTCCTGCAGCTGGCCCTGTTGGCTCTGCTGCTGTTGCTGTTGTTGCTGCTGCTGCTGCTGCTGCTGCTGCTGCTGCTGTTGCTGCGAGTGTATGTCCGTCACGCCACTGCCGTTACGAATTCGGGACCTGTCGGACAAAGCGGAGAAGGTGACCTTTTTAACGATTTTCGATGCGTCCGGTGCCTCCATCCTG